GAATATGATTCCAAATAAATCTATTTAAATAGACCATATATGAGATATAAGAAAGGAAAAAAAATAAATTCATCTTTTCTTAAGATTTGAGGCTATAAAGGGTATGTCAAAAGGTTTAACAAAGACAAACTAAAGCCTAAAATCAATAAAGTGCTAAATTGTGAGTTATCCAAAGTAATATAAGAATGTCAATATCTTATCACTAGAACAAAGTGTTGTTCATTACTAGGCATACTATATTCCTTGTGAAGAAATTTATGGGTGCTAGAAATAGTGGGAGGAAATTTAAACTTAATAAGATTTGAGTAGATTCACAAATTGACACTCTAGTAAGGGAATCCTAAAGTAGAATAATTACAAAATATTGTAACTCTTTCATAAACAAAACACAAGAATTTCATAAGTTTAAAAGAAATTCTTCATAAGATAAAAATGATATGATCTTCTCATTTTGACACATGGTGATGTGAGCCCTAAAAGGATAATGAAGCTAACACTTTTGAAATGGCAATATTAGAAATTGATTCTTAGATAAGGTAAATGAAAAAAGGATGTGTAGATGATGCACCTCGATGGTTTCTAAGAACATGCAAATAAGATTTGCAAAATGCTAAAGTCCATTAATAGACTTAAGCATGCCTCTAGGATTAAAAGTCTACATTTTATGAAACAATCAAAGAGTTTGATTATTCATAAAAAACAAAGACGAACCTTGTGTATATAAGAAGTTGGTGGAAGCCTATTAGTCATGGTTATTCGACATAAAATTACACCTCGACTATAATATTATCATGTTACAAATAAAAGATTAAAGAATCTAAAAGAAATTTCTCAAGAATGACATAGGATAAACCTACGGTCTAAGAGTATAGATCTATAGAGATAGATCACTTGTAATGTGAGGAGTCTCTCAAGGTAGTTACAATGACATGATACTAAAAAGGTTTAGTATGGAAAAATCAAAGAAAGTCTTGCTAGTTTTGTTCTAGTGTGATATAGCTTAATGGTCGATAATAAATGATCCGGAACACAAGCTAAGAAATCAAGATCTCATCAATGGTCAAAGTATGTACTACATTGCTACCACTTAGTTATAGAGATAAACAAGTCGTTGTAACATAATGATAGAAAAGGTCTACACGGACGATAACATAGCCGACCCTTAAACTAAGCCTTTATCATAGCTGAAACATGAGACCCTTACTCGATTATCGGGATTAAGGGACATGGCTGGTTGGCTCTAATGCAAATAAGAGATTGTTAGTGTAGATGCCCAAGATCCAACCATGTTTGGATGGGCTTGAGTCAATGTATTATTACATTATTTATTTTAATAATAATAAAGAAGTCATTCTATTAATTCTTATGTTTTGTGTTTGTAAATTTAGTAGAATTAGATAGAAGTCCTTATAATATGCATTTGTAATAGTGATTAATCAAAAGATGTGAGACAAACACTAATGTATATAAATGATATCATTAAACATCCTAAGTTATAGCATTGTCCGGAATGGACATTGACTATATACGGATAGACTTGTGAGTGCTATGCTCATGCTATATGATAGTAGTATGAAATTTAACACATATTGGTATGGTGATGCCAAAACAGACACTTAATGATTCATGTTAGAGAACATATCATCGAACTTGACTCGCAATGAGAACCCATTTGGTTTTAGTCTATAGGAATCTCATACTAGATGGGTACAAATGGTCTTTAGACTTAAAGTCATCATGATTGTCTCCTTAGAGGATTTATGCACTTTGACACTTGTTTTGATGGACCCATTAAAGGGTTGCATATGGGTGATTCGTTGGGTGCATTAGGAATCTAATGAAGGTAAGTGTATGACTAAGATAAGGCATATCATTCCTTATATGCTAAATGAGTTATCACATTACACTTCAATAAATGTCCGCTCAAGAAATCTTTTATCATAGTAGGCGTATACCAATAGAGCATAGTTGGCTTACTCTAAGAGCTAAGACATTTGGGAATCGAAGAAAATTTATGTTATCATAATCAAACAAGACTTATAACCAAGTTCGAGATCACACCATGATAAGTTGACATGAAGACTAAATTGTTTGGTAATTATGCTCATTAAAGGTAATAATGGATTAATTGATCCTCCTAGAAAATTGGGTAATCATAATGTCTTACTATAGGTCAATCTTGATTTATGTATCAAGAGATAAAAGATGAGTCTTTTATTCTTGATACATTTCCCACCTATTGAGTCCACACATAAGTTTAAGTATTCACATTATAAATGAGAAGCAAAAATATTGAAAAAAATTCAATTATGAAATTTTTCTATTTTGGAAAGGGTTTCCATAATAGAAAGTTTCTTAAAATGGAAAGTTTTCTATTTTAGAAATCAATTTTCTAATTTGGAAGTTAGTTCCAAATTTGAAAATAAATAAGCTAAAATGGAAATGAGTTTCATAATTTAGGTTAAAGGGTATTTTGAGAAATTTTTTACAAATGTGGACCCGTTTAAAATAATCTAAGATTATTTATTTGGATAGTCTAAATAAATTAATTAGACTAAATGATTTTTATCCATTAGGTTTAATTAAAAGCCTTAAGATATTTTGGTGGGAGGATAAACATCAACCTTATTGGATAAGGATGAATGTTTTGAAGATAATGATCAAAAGTCCACATGTAGAAGTAACTCCTCATCCTTGGAGAATAAGGAAGCAACAACCTAGAGTGCTAATGGGGACTTAATGCCACCTTTCTCTTTGTCCTTGAAGGATAAGGAAACTCTCTTATAAATATAAGGGAGAGAGAGGTGCGACAACTAAGCAAAAAAAAAGAGAGAGAAAAAGAAAAAAAAGTCGCCGAGACTTAAAAACTAACTAGGGCACAAGGCAAAGTGAAGAAAAACAAGCAAAATACTCTTTCATTCTATTTTAAGGTTATCGAAAAATTATCTCGGATTGATTTTATAGGAAACACTACCTAAATTAGAAAAAAGTAGAGCTAGCACTCTATTGATTTTGAGTGCTTCTTTATGGATACTTAGATCGTGTTGATCATCAATAGAGGTCGGACAATTGGATAACTTTTCTAATAAAAGAATTTAGATATGCACTACAAGAGGTAAAACTTTATTTATTGCTTTAAATTCATACATCTATGGTTAATAGATTCAACGGTTTGATCTTAGGCCCTTAGATGGAGGAAAATTTTTATTTATTATGCACCTCCATAGGATGTATGATCCTTCGCTTAGTATACTAGTTTTCTTTTTATTTATGCCTTTGTTTTCTACATGATAGTTAAAGCTATGAAAGAGTGAATGGTTAGTTTGAAAGAAATGAATGTAGATAGATAATAAGCCTTTTTTGTAGTATTTGGCATTACATCGAATTTTTTATGTTAAGGGTATGTAAACAAAATATCGATAGTAAAACGAGTAAGATAATCGTAGATAGCATAGTTTTCTTTAAGTTATTCATTTCCATGGTAGTATCAACAATAAAATAAGAAAATGAAACTAGATAGACAACAACTAAAATAAGTGGTAATTAATAAAAACGAAAAGCAATTAATTACCAAGTAATGAGTCATAAATAAATGAATTTATATAGGTTAATAGAAAAGAAATTTGAGAAAATCTAGTATCACGGATACAATTATTTTAGTTCAAATAATTTAAATAAAATAATAAAACTAACAAAGTTTATAGTATATTTTGAACTAAAATGTAGGACCTAATAATAATTTATTAGGCTTCCGTAGCATATTTTATGCCTAGGAGAATCTATGCATAGGAGAATCATGAATAAGTCACGGTGCCTTGTTAGTGTGCATTCATTGCATTTCGAATGTAGGTTAAAGGCAATAATATTCTCAACCTATTAGGTCTTAGGTTGAGGGTGGGTCCTAAAATAGAGTATTTCGTTTGAATTAAAAAAAAATTAATTTTAATAATAAATTATATAAAACTAATAATAAAAAAAAAGGTGAAAAGACTAAAACCCTCATCATCATCAACAATAACATAAGCCTATTTCAACCATAGATTAGGACTAACCTTTAACGGACCAAGAACTTGAAACCAAATTTGACACCAGTTGCCCAGCTTCTTTTTTGATCTCTTTAAACCTTTTTCCCTTTCTCTTTGTCAAGGTAACTCTTTTATGCCCATTTCCAAAACTCATTTATGATATGTTTGCATTTGGTGTAGCCGTTACCAACATTGACACTAATGGTAGCCATGCCTTGGAAGAGTTTTATAAAAGTCCCTAGAAAAGAGAGATTAAGGTAAACTCTTATGCAATTTTGAAATCTAATGTTATAACTTAATTACAATTACATTAATCTCAATTAACTAACACATAAACACATAGTAGTATGATAATAAATAGATATTTGTTTGATATTATTACCAAAATTACCTTACCAAAAGCTCCTAATGTTGTTATACAGCTTATCCTAGCAAACCTTGGAACGAGTAGTGATTAATAAGCTTCATGTCTCCTATCTTACACAATTGATTAGAGAGGACAAAATCTTTTTACGGTTCTAATGTTGTGGTAGCATGTTCTCCAAAATTGGTGGAAGAAGCTTGAGAGAAAATTTAAAATGAGGTTTTTCTATGTTTGATTGAGAAATAAGATTTCACGACTATGGTGTATGGCATTAGGAGAGGAGGGTACAAACCGAGTAATAGAGTAAGAGTAGTGGATAATTGTGGGTCATTATAAAGGAAAAAAAAAACATGTTACTGCTAACAATTGAAAAGAAAAAATCCAAACCTCGAATTCTTTAAAGAATTCAATAAATGGATTTTGGAAAGAAAGGAAATGTAAGTACAAATATAAAAAGAAAAAGAAAAGATGTGCATAAAAGAGTTACCTAGATAAGGAGAGAAGGAAAAAGGTTTGGAGAGATAAAAAAAGAATTAGGCAATTGACGTCGAATTCTTGATCCTTTTGTGGACTTGAATGTTGTTTATTCATTATAGAAGAAGAATCTTTTTATGGACTTGAATGTCGTTTCTTCGTTATATGAGGAGTTGTTGCTGTCTGCTAATAACAACGACGACGGCGATGATGATGAGGGGTTTTGGTCTTTTTCACTTTTCTTTTACATTAATTTATTATTAAAATTACTAAAACTTTAAATCAAAATTTCTTAGAATATGTTTCTTTGTGGCTATTTTTACTTTAATCGGTTGAAATATATATATATATATATATATATATATATATATAGCACTATAAAATCATAAAAAGAAAAGAAGATTTTTAATTCTAAATCAACACTATTATAGACCCCTTAAATTATTTAAAATTTGATGTTAGTAGGAGAGTTAAATTACATGTCATTTACATCTTTATTATTATTATTATTATTATTATTATTATTATTATTATGAGCATTTTACTAATAAAATTATAAAACCATGAAATGTAATTTTGTAATATTTCTTTCAAAAAGCAAGTAACAATTTAAAATTTAAATCAACTATGCCTTGAGAATGTAGAATATATTCATATATTGTATATGGTATGTTATTAGTTTTCGATTAAGCCATTTTCTAATAAAATCATGATATTAAGTGATGTGATTTAATTTATACTATCAATTTAGAAAAATTAAGAGCAATTAAGAATTTAAATTGAATATCCATCATGACCGTAGAACGAGTGATACACTCATATTTTCAATCATGTTTTTATTTTTATCTTTTTAGTTGGAGATATGAATTTTTTTAATTCAATGTAAATTAATAAATAACTTTATGTTTTAAAATAATATAAAATGTATGTTTAGATGGGTAAGTGCAATATAAATTAAATTTAAAATAATAAAAATTAATTTTAATTGGGAATGGGTTGGAAGACAACTTTGATGTTCTAATGTTAAATAAGATAAATTTGGAGTTAAACATCACATGCGTAGTAGAATAAGAATAATAAAATAAACATAATTATCTAAGGTTGTGTTTGTTTGGGAGAACAACTTTCAATGGGAAAAGTAATTCTAGGGAAGGTATTTTTCAAGAAGTTGTTTTTCCGAAAAATATTTTTTGACGTTTGACAATTACATGAAAAAGCCGTTAGAAAATATTTTTCAGCATTTGTTTGATACAAAAAAATAGATTATTACTAAAATTTTATGATTACAAACCCACCATGTGCATTTTCAAGTTTTTCTTTTCTTGATTTTGTACAAAATTCCTATCTATAATGTGGCCACGCCAATATATATATATATATATATATATATATTTGAACTTTTTTTACCATGTTCTTATTGGTATTGTTTAGTAGAATTAATTTTATTTTATTTTTAGCATGAGAAAGAAATAAAGTTAATCTAGTTGAACTTTTTTATATTAAAATTCATAAACTTAAACTAATAAATAATAATGTGATATTTTGTGAAATAACACTACTTAAATCTTAAAAAAAATAAAATTGATGAGACGAATTTTAACATAATTAAAGGATAAAAATTTGATTTGAAATTTTTTAATATGAGAACTAAAACATTATTACAGCAGAAAATGAAAATTTAGAAGGTGATCACTAGCTTGAAGGAATCCAATAAATAATACGAAGAATTGTTGCATTCCATATAGACTAAAATGGCAATCCAACAAGTATCAATATTGACAACTTCCGTAAAGACTTTCCACTTCGTCGAGTTCCGTAACAACGGATTAGCTTTCCGACATCCTTTCTTATATTCAAGAAAGCACAAAGTACAACAATAGGTATTGTTACTCGGGTAGATATAAATACTTCTTGTAGAATTCATATTAGCAGATTTTTTCAGGATGACTTTTCTCACAAAGCCCTATAAGATAAGTAATGTTCCAAAGAGGCTTATTCTACCCAATCTTATGAGACCTAATATCGCTCCTCCCATCGTTAAGTAGCTTCTTGCCGAATCTAGCGAAACATAAAATTATAAGTATATATTAATTGAAATAACCAAGATACCATACATTTTCTCTCTGTTCATATAAACAAAATAAAAATGCAATGCAATGCAATGTATTATTAATGCTATCCAATTGGAAAAATCAAATTAATATAACATAAACGTTATGAAAAAAATAGGGAATTACCAAAGAGAATTCACCGGTTTCCTCATATGAACTATTATTCAAAACCAACAATGAATCAAAATCCATAACTAAGTTTTGAAATTAACAAAAAACCCCTAAACAAAGTTTCAAGCTTGGTCCCTCAATTCTCCCAACCCATTAAAGTGAATCAAGAGCTTTTTGCTCTACTCTACTCCACAAAGGTTTTCTTTTCGATGGCTTAAATTTTGTTTTCAAAATGAGTAGTGAAAGGGGAATTAAAGCTCTTGGCTTTTAGGGGATTTTCCATGTGTTCTTTAGAGATAAATAAATGGTTGGTTTTGTCACTACTTGTTTTGTTGTCCATCGAGGGGATAAGAGGGAATAATGGAATTTCTTAAAAAATAGAGCCCTTAGTATTGTAATCTTGCATGCTTAATTAACCTTCCTTTCCCTACCAACATCCGATCCAAATCTTAATGGCTCAAATCATTGATCCTAGAATGATACTCCTTGTCAATAGAGTATTTACAACATGTTTACCACCTCTCAAACTTTTTGTTTTCCTTTTTTTACATTGCAATGTTCTAGTATAAAGGTTACAAGATCGCTTTTTCTTACAAGTGGTCCAAGGAATATTTGACTTCAAATTAATTAATCAACATTGTCCATCTCTCGCAAAAGCAATTAAAAAGAGTTGTTTCATGGACCACAATGGGATTTTTTAAAGAACTAATGGATTTTGCATTCAAAGAATACCTTCGAGAATTTATTTAGTCGGCCTTTAAAACACATTCTTATAGACAATATAAACATCATATCTTCTAAAGAATGAAAGATAAATTATCTTAGTTTAGGATGTTTTCTATATTTTTAATTAAATTATTTAAGTATTTAGATTCTTTTTTTCTTTTATTCAATATTTCGGACTTGTTATTTTGTAGCTTTTAGATGAGTAGTTTGGGCTAATTTACGGAGGTAATCAATTGGGCAAAATTAGTTCCTAATTGGGTTCGAATTTCGATTCTTTTAGATTGAGCATTACTCGGCTTTTGAGCTATAATTGAACCTACATATCTCGTAATGGTAAATTCTTAGGCTATCCGGAAAGCTAAGAAACGGACCTACAACATTTGTGAAGAAGCCAACTCCTAATAGAGTCGTTTTAATGCTTCAAAATAGGCTTAAAGTCGGATACATGAATCGATTACTGAGTTGAAAACAAATTAGGAAACAAAACTATGCTTCAAATCTAGATCTTATTATTTGTTAATTGGATCTATAAGGAGGAAGACGAATAAAAATCTTACTAATTTAGTTATCTCACTAATCCAATCTCTAGTTTTGAAGATCCAAAAAACACATTAGCAGTTTACAAGAAGGAGCAACAAAGGGAAGTGACGGACCCACTAAAAGGAAGACACAAACAAATAAATCAAACAATATTACAAGAAATCGGATCTAAAGTAGGAGGATATGCAAAAACCTTATAAATCAAACAATATCGAGAGAAATCACGAGTAGATCTAATCATTCTTTTGCGAGGCTTTATTTGCTCGACGGTGGCAATAGCTTTGTTGCGGTAGTGTTGGGTGGCGAAGACATCCTTGGATCGGCTTTAGGTAGCAATGAAACTAGTGAGTTTGGGTGAGAATAGGATGGGCGACAGAGGAGCTTCGAGAGAAAAAATGTTTTCCCATTTTCTATTTGGGAAGTCATTTTTCCAAAACTTACCTTTTAATTTTCCTTGATAAGACATAAAAAATAGAGAAAATAAGTTTCAGAAATTTATTTTTCTCGAAACAAACGCACCCTAATATAGACATGATAAAATTATTAGAATTTAATTATTTATAAATAATCCAAACTACCGAAATCGGATCAAGTCCGCCCTGCATTGCGGGCCATACGACCAGGGAATAAATGGAAAATGAACAAGTGTATTGACTTTTTGTGGGTACCAATTATGGGCTAACGGCCCACTGGTCAGGTAGCCCAAAAGACTCGGCCACCTACGTCCAACTGAAAGGATAAAAACGTCATTTCGGTGTTATAGATGAATATTGCAACGAGCAGAAGCTAGCTAGGGTTGTTTCTTAGTTGGGTCATTTTAAGTGGAAGCTCTGCCTCAGTAGCGCCTCTCTCCCAAACCTCTACATTCCTTCAAACGCTAAAAGAAAGGTCTCTGTCTTTGTCTCTGTCTCCGTCTCTCTTACTGTTGAGTTATTATTATTATTATTTTATTATTACTGATTTTTACTTATTTTGTAATGCAGGCAAGTAGGAGGTGTTGTTGAAGAGAAAGAGAGTGTAAAATGGTGGAGAAAACGAAGGGGAGAAAGGAGGAGGTGGTCACTAGAGAATATACCATTAACCTTCACAAGCGCTTACATGGCTGGTATTCTTTTCTTTTGTTTTTGCTCTATGAATTGTTTCTCGACCTATTGCACTTTTTGTGTTAACGTTTTCAAGCAATTTTTGCTGCTTAAAAGTTCAAACTTTATTATTTGGCTATATTGAATGCTATTTGTCAATAAAATAGGTTCAATAAAAATGGGTATTTGTAGGTAATGATGATGCGTTATAGAGAGGAGACCATGCCTTAGTTTTACCATCTGATATAATGCAGGCTTTGGAATAGTTCTGTATTTACATTCAAAGAAGGAAGTGTAGTTCCGTTTAAGTTTGTGATAATGGAGGTTTAAGCTAGATTTATGAGATAATATGATGGCTGAGGAGATATCTACTGTAAGAGTGACCTATCACTTGAAAGCATCGCTATTTACAAAATCCGAAAGTATTTTCTTCCAATTCTCCAGTATTGATTGATTGATCGATCGATCGGATGACAATGGAAGGCTCTGGAATTAAGAACCATCGATACTTTCAATAGTTGGTAACCTTCCTTTTGAGGGAATTATTATAGGATAGTTTACTTTCTGGCATCTCCATGGATTCACTATTTCAGGAGTGGCACTGCTGTTCTGGATCTGAGATGAGTGGCTGTTTAGGGTGTATTGATGTGGATTTCTGCTGGGAACTTAGAACCATTAGAGTCACAATAATAGAGTTTATAGGAGTCACACTTAGAAGATAGAAAAACCTAAGCTTCACACCTAAGGTTCTTAGGAGTCAGACCTAATGGAGATTGAGTTACACAAATAAAAGCAAATTGCTGTAATTTTATTCATAAACCGTCATTGAAAATATTGAAAGACTGCACTCTTATTGACAGAGTTCTAGTAGTCCAAATCCAATAAAGACTCAGATTTCAAATAAGAAAATACTAAGTCTATGTAGAATTGGAAAAACCTAACAAAGTTAATTAGTCCTTAGGACTAATAAAATACTAAATAGAAAATTTGCATTCGAAAATTTAAATGAAACACATAAATCTTTGTCTTTTGTTGTCTGCATCACTTGTTGTATTTGATTTTTTTTTTTTTTTTTTGTTCTTCAATCATGGTTTTGGGAGCCTTAGCAATTCTTCTTGTCTCTTATGTGCAAGGGACTGCTAATGATTTGTGTTGGAACAAAAAATAGCCAAGGGGATTCTTGTATTCTCATTACAATAAGAAAAATTGGTTGCTAATTCATTGAGTGCATGATTTTTCCTATACCAAAGTGGGGCATTGATCTTATTCTCATACATATGTGTTTGCACACATTCTGCTATTAGATATCATTATTGATATTTCTGCATGGTGGTGAGTGCTATACTCTCACTGTCAAATGCCAGCTTTAAGCCTAGTGGATAGGAAGATTTGGATGCTGCTGTTCATTTCAATTTTCTAATGTGACATCAAACAAACTATTTATTCAGTCCTGAAATATCATATCTAATTTTGTGGAACAGCACCTTCAAGAAGAAGGCTCCTAAGGCCATAAAAGAGATCAGGAAGTTCACTCAGAAGGCTATGGGAACAAAGGATGTGAGAGTGGATGTTAAGCTGAACAAACACATCTGGAGCAGAGGGATTCGAAGTGTCCCAAGAAGGATCAGGGTTCGCATTGCTCGTAGGAGAAATGATGACGAAGATGCAAAGGAAGACCTCTACTCCCTTGTGACTGTTGCAGAACTCCCACCAGAAGGACGAAAGGGGCTTGGCACCAAGGTTATTGAAGAGGATGATTGATTCTGCTACTAGTGTTTTAAGAAACACCATTTGTAGGCAAAAGGTTTAATGGGACTGAAGGTTTAATGGGACTTATCTCAAGTGTTGAGTGTTTTCAGACAAATTACTTTTATTATTCAAGATAATTTGTATCGCTGCTGTTTACTCATTTGGTTTGCTAGACTTTGTTACTTGTCATTTGGTGGTGGTTACCGAAGTTATTCCTAGCGCTCTTTAATGTTTTATTTATTTATTTATTGTTGGGTGCTTTGACAATCCAATCTGCCATTTGTCCATGACATTCCGTTGACCACTTTCGATTGATGGCAAACGTTTTTAGCAGAAGTCTCTGCTTGTACTTTCTTGTGGAAGTGGGCTTTTGCAGAATAATTCGGCAGAATTTAGTGGACCATGTCGAATATGGCTGCATGTCCATCAACTAAGAAACTAAATTCTGGAATTTGGGCACTGACGCTACTAAACAAAGGATAAAAGAAGAGAAGATAAGAAGATGAGAGTTGCAATCAATCAGGGGTAGGTGTTTGATGAGCAGTGTATTGTAGAATTTGCCCTGATGTTCCTAGTGCAATCTAATACCCTTCACGTCGGCTCCATAACAATTTTGAAGTTCACGGTTTACAAATAGCTACAAGACATATTTCAAGTCTTGGAATTATTTATTCTTTTTGGATGCGACATCCCTGCTCCCATTTGGCTGCAAGGCCAAGGCAAGTCTTCCAAGTTATAATTACTTAACACAGGATCAGATGTTCCATTCTTAAACAGTGGGAGATTCATCTGCCCTGCATTCGTATATGATAAAGGGTACACTTCTCTCATCCCACAGACCTTACATCTGTGTCTCTACCCTGTGGGATTAGAATTAATCCCACAGCTACCTATTAAAAATTTGATCACGAATTCTGACCCATTGTTAGATGTGGCAGTGGACTGCCACACTTGAGGCTATGCATTCACAATAAAATGCAGGGAAACCAAGCACAAAAAGGTATTGAGATTACAAATCATTCATATGGGGTACAAGAGTTGCTCGTATCTGAATTCATGAAAACACGGAGTCCAAAGTGATTTTCCGACAAGGAAACAAATACAAGTGTACTGAAACTACATTTTTGGCCAAGCAACTCCTGAGACTACACAAAGATACAGTTTCTAACTAAAATAGAAATATAAGAAGAAAAAACACAAGGTTTAGTTCGGTCATGAAGACCTATATTCACGGGAGGAAGGTATCATCTTATTTTATTTCTTTCACCCACAAAATACAGCAGTAGCAGAGTTCCTTTTATAGGAGCAATATACACCGAATAGAAAGCCACAATTACGAGCAAAATTAGAACAGAAAATTAGGACCATATTTCCTCTTAATTTTTTTTTATTACAATAATTGATTTCTTCATGAATAGGAAGATTCTGTTCCTCCTAAATTGAAGGCATATTTCCCACACTCCCTCTCAAGATGGTGAATAGATATCGGTCATTCCTACCTTGCTAAGACGAGATATCAAAAATTGATTTCCGAAGAATTTTTATTAGAATATCGACTTCTTAAGATTTGGTAGGGACATAGGACGTAACAATAGTTCCATTATCTATCTCATTTTTTATAAAATTTATGTCAATCCTTATATGTTTCATTCGGTCATGTTGGACTAGATTGTGAATAACAATGATAGCCGATTTCTTGTCATCTGAACAACATAATAGGGCTCGTTATCGGCATGTTTAAGTCTATCATTAACTTCGAATCCAAATAAGTTCATAAGTTCCTTGAACTATAGCTTTGTACTCGAACTTATGCAATACTTCGAGCCACCACAGATTGTTTATTGCTTCTCTAAGTCACTAGATTTCCCCATACCTTTGTACAACATTCAAATATTGACTTGCTATCATCAATAGCTCCTACCCAATTTGTATTTGAAAAACCAACAACATCCCTAACTTCATTTTTTTTTAAATAGTAGACCTTTGCTCGGACTCCCTTCAAATATCTCGGAATCCGATTTTGTCGCCTCCGTATGCTTCTTAGTGGGAGCATGTATAAATTGACTTGTCATACTTACACTAAAGTCAATGTTAGGTCTTGTGAATGATAAATAAATGAGTTTTCTTACCAAGTGTTGATACATTTCTTTATTAACTAGGAGATCATCATCCGATACTTTATGCTTCTAGTGTCTTTCCAAGGGTGTAGTAGATGGTTTCTAACCAAGCTTTCTTGTCTCCTTGAGTAAATCTAGTGTGTACTTCCAGTTAGCGAGAATGAGTCGTATTCTTTCCTATTTCATATTCTATATATTTACGTATGTGTGATCTATTTACCATATAAAGGTTTTTATCTCTTGTATACATATCATTAGAATATATGAAAAAAAGAGACAATTCTACATATTAACGACTTGGTATTAGAGCCTTGTCGTATAATTTTATCAAAACCTTAACTCATGAATCGCTCCTTTCTACTTCTTTATAAGCCACTAGTCGTCACTACTCCTTTCTTCTCTAAAACACTAGCTACACCACAGTATGTCTACCAAACTTAAGGTTGCAAATAGTGGCGATAGGAAAACCTTTACCATAACTAATCATGATGCTTCTTCATCCATCCATATTAAATTAGATGGTGCTAACTATTGGGTCTAGTCCAAGATCCTAGAGATGCATATTCCTAAGAGGAAAAAGAAGGGCTATATCAATGAAAAAAAGACTACGGTAGTAAAAGATGATCCAAGCTATGATGAATGGAAGGCTAAAGATGCACTTGTAAAATCTTGGCTCATTAATTCAATGAGTGATAATATAATGTCACACTTTATGTAGTGTGGTATAGCAAAAGGAGTCCGGGATGCTCGTGAAAAGAAGTTGCTTTGATGTATCCGATTTTTCTTAAGTCTATGAACTCATGTAGAAGCCTTTCCAATCCCATCAAGGTGGCCGACCTCTCGTAGAATATTATAATGAATTAAACTCAATTTTTATGGAGATTAATTATTGAGGGCCAAATGATATGACATGTGTTGCTTATATTGAAAAATACAACAAACGTATGGCGGAAGATATGATCTATATCTTTCTTACTGGCCGTGATCATAATTTAGATCAAGCTAGTAGTCGTGTTCTAGCTACTTCTCCTCTACCAAGATTAGAAAAAGCCTACTCCATGATTTGTCAAGAAATTCAATGATAGGTTACCATGAGGGTAGAAATCCATTTTAAAGTTTCAACTCTAACTTTCTAAATGAGCACTTCTATAGCTTTTCAATCTTAATTTTGCACCCACTGCTATAAGAGTACACATACGATTGATGATTGTTGGAAGAAGCATGACTATCTTGAATGCTATAAACTTAAGCAAGTTGAGAGAAAAAATAAAAGTTTTACTCGGAATGCTACTCGCTATAGATACTACTCCATCTTCTACTTCTCATATATCTTAGACATCTTCCCAAGATGGTAATTTTGGTTTATCCATTATTTCTACTTGTCTTAATACTTGGAGTATTGATTCGGGGGCCACTTTTCATGTGATTAGTAACTCTTCTATTTTGGATTCTTTAACATCTTCATCGGTTAAGTCCGTATAGGTAACTAATGGGAACTTTATACTAATCACATAGGCTAAAAATATGTCTATTTCTTTGACATTTTCTATGTAGTCTATTTTACTTGCACCTAGACTTTTAAATAGCCTTCTTTCCATTAGTAAGATAACAAAGAATCTCAATTTTTCTATTATTTTCACTCTACTCATTGTGTTTTTTAGGATAATTTTACAAAGATGACGATTAGCGTTGGTAAGGAGAGAGATGGTCTATATTATTAGAGGACAATCGAGGCATAACAACACCTACTCATGGCTTCCAAATAAAGAGAGAATAATTTGATAGAGAGAGAATTATGTTTTGGTATTATCAGTTGGGACACCCATCTTTCTCTAATTTAAAATGATTTTTTCCTCAATATTTTCAAAATTTATATTTCTAGTTTAAAATGTGAACAATGCATTTATGGTAAAAGCCTTCGTGTTCCTTTTAAAGTCGGTTTTAATAAAAACACTATCCTTTTTCATGTGTTCATGCAACCAATTGAAATAATCTACCATCTTGTTCACATCCATACTATGCTTATTGTTCACTATTCGGAACATAAAATAGTCACAAATTGACTAATCTCGTTCGCTCATTTTTTTCACCCAAAATGAACTTAAAAACTCCCATGTTAACTCTTTGAAAGAGAGATCATCCATCTTTAATAATTTCACCTAAATAATTATCTCCAACATCTCTCTCACTTCACCTAACAAAGCCATAACTTCTAGGGCTTGCACTCTACATACTTGTTTACTATCACCTTTTTTTCTTCAATACATTATAGTTGTCCTTCTTACTCTTCATTCTCAAATTCTATCATTAGGTAGGATTTAAAAGAATAGCCTTCCTTTGTGGCTGGTTCTTTCCGATGAGTATGCTTTCCTTGTTGTGATGCTACCTGTTTACCTTTGTCTATTGAGGTAGAAATTGTTGTTTATGGTAAAGCTTTGGCGAAAAAATGTGAGGATTCTTTAGTTTGGTTGTGAAAAGAGGTTCTTTGGTGGAATTGTTTTTTATGGAGTGCTTGATGTTGATACATGGAGGTGTGATTTACGGTTGGTTATAGGTGAGGGGTTTGTAGATCCGAAATATAGAAGAAAAGATGGAGAAAAGGGTTGGCAACACAATTAGTTTATTAGAGAAGATGAAGTCACACGGTTCGGGGCTTGATTTATATAGGGGTAGGTTTTTAAAGGGACAAACCGTGTGACTTTTGGTCCGGAAGGTGACACATAATTTTGTAATATTGGTGTACAAACCATGTGGCTTTTCTTCTACCCATGTTTCTCTTTTTTCTTCCCCAACCAATGCAATGTTTTAAATTTCACATGATCGTGTAACTTTCTTTACAAACTATGTGTATCTCATTCTACTTGGGGAACACTTTCCCTTCAATTTCACCCAATC